TCCCTTAGCAGCGGAGCTGCATAGAACTGCATGAGGGGGTCATATATTCGAAAGCCATCTTCGATCCTGTGTATGATTCCTCTTTTCAATGCTCTTTGCTTTTCCTCAACGGTTTTTGCTTTTTATGTCATCTCCCTTTCCTTGGTATTTCCTTCTTTATTCCCATCATATTTCTTTTCCGAGGAGTGGTTCCGTTGCGAATATCTAAATGAACAACTTTTATAGGGCCAGTTATAAGCAACACAGATAATCTTTGGAGCCAAGTTGTCCCTGCAGTGATTGGAATTAATCGCCAGCTTAACGCCCGTGGTTCTGTCGTGCTACATCCTTATTGACGTGTCGGGACCATTATTTATTGAAGGAAGTGCTAGTAAGCCATGGAATCCGAGGAATGAATTTTTGGGGGATCGAGAAGGATTGAGGAAGGGTGTTCATGTTTTTCTTTCCTTTTCTTTATTTCATTCTCTCCCTTTTTAAGGCTGCATTAGCTCGGAAATGATGTGAGGTTCATGTACGGAGTATATACTCCTAAAACGGCTATTGCATTATCTGTCGACCTACATGAATAAAATACTAGGAAAAAAAAAATAAAAAAAAGCAACCAGACAATATTCTGCGATATTACCATTCTGTTTCTCATCCCGGCTTCCGATCCCTTTCTTTCTTCGCCGAACGAAGAACTGCAGTATTGGCAATAATTTATCCTCTAATTAGCTAGTTAGTTAGTTACTCCGTAGAATATTTGGTAAGCTTCCTCGCCTTCCTCTGGGTCTCGGTATTGATATGCTGTCTTAACTACCACAGCGATATCAACCGATGCATAGTACAGTACATATCCGCCACGCACGTATCCATTTCCCAAAACGGACTTTGGACAATCACCATGGTACTCATGGAAATCGTAATAATCCATGCTGCAAAACCGCTGCCGTTTTCTTAATTAATATATTTTTTAGGAACAGGACCACATGCATGCTCTTCTCGAGTTTATCAGCATGTAGTGCCGCCGAACAATTTCTGTCCCACCTAGGTTCATGTACGCATCTGTAAATGTCCTAAGATTTCCAAAATGCAGAACCGTGCCTATATACATAGTTGCCCCCAGAAAAAAACTGTAAAAATCACTTGAAAAACAAAATATGCCCTTAACAGCCTCCTAACGAAAGGAGTTTCTTGATGGTGGAATGGGTCTACTCACATACATGAACCAGTGATCAGTCATCTGCTCCAGTCTCATATAATGGGTTGAATAAGTAAAGTCTGTCTGCTATCATACGTCCATAGGCCCTAGTAGTCAGGACCCAGGCTGCAGCGCGTGAGAATTCAAGCCTCAGGATGATGAGAATCCCCAACGGCGGGTTGAAAAACGGCGGAGATAGGATCTACAAAATACGTATAATACAACACCCAGCATTCCATGTGCATGAACTCATGGTATGGGCCCCAGTGGGCCAGAGCAATGCAGTGGATTGCAGGTGGCATGGGGCCGCTCCTGGTACCATCATGTATATACAAGTAGGTACCGATATTGATGGGCTGGTATATATACGGCGTATATCAAGCGTGTCCAGGGGCAATATTATCTCATATCTCTTGCTCGTCTTACAATAAACGCTCATGCATCTTCTTTTATTTTTATTTTTATTTTTATTTATTTATTTATTTATTTTTTGATTGGTATACTGCGTAGTACCAGGCGAGATAAACGGGTGAAAAGACGTGCACAGCAAACTTGCAATATTGCCAGTTTCATTTCTCCTATAAAAATAAATTCCCGAGAGCTGTACAAATCTGCAGGTAAATTAAGGGAAAAAAAAAAAAAAAAAAAAAAAAAAGCCCCAGCTATAGAGCAAGTGTTTCATTAGCTGTCGATGCGGCATATTATTCTGGCTTCTCGCCCCCATCTGCTTGCTTTTTGCTTTTTGCCTTGGCATTCCGGGAAAATAGTCGTGGGCCTCAGCGCCAGGTACCTAGGAAAAGCCCGGATTATCGCTCACACGAAGGAACCGGAGGAATGATCAATATGAGATGTGTCCCGGATACAATGTCTCAGATTGCACTGGCGCTGGTCATCATCAATCAAACGTTCCACCCTGGGAACGTAAGGAAAGGCTTGTAATATATTTTGCGGGCTGTAGAAGTAATGGGAGGGTAGTAAGCGCCTACTAACTCTCGCCTCCCACAATATTGGTTGGCACGTGTCTATTATACCTTTTTCGCACACGGAGACAGTTGGGGATGAATTGTACAGATTACTGTACGTAGCTTTGTAGCTTGGCACGAGGGGGTACAAGGGATCCATGGATCTCAAGTGGAGAGAGAGTCGATAAATTATGAAATACCCACCCCGGTCTTTTCATGCATGCAGGAATGCACGTTTGTGGAGTATGTGATGAAATTCCATTCCTCTGTGTCATCAGCGCATAAGTATTGATAACATTGAGGAGCGAGAGCTACGACGTGACGGTAGCGTGGCTCCTCAACAACCCTTTTGCTCCATTACCCTTGTTCATCGCCCCTGGCAAGCAAGGGTTCTGGGGCTACCTTGGCCAGAAACCAACTGTTACTGTCGCGCGGGAATCGCCTCCAGCCCCGCAAACCGGATGAGGAAAGCTTATAACAGCTAACAGCAGGACAGTAAATATTGTAACGTGCTGAGACGAGGCTGGTTTCGGGGGCAGATGCCTTTGCAACTGGACCATGCTAGTGTCCATCGTCAATCGCCAACTAGCAAACATTGCAGTTCACATTAAAAAAAAAAAGCCGAAGAGAAATGACACATCGTGAGTGGAGTGGATTGAACATATCGGCTATCGTCGTGAGCCGCCCCGGCAAGTGCTTGAGAAATTAGACTTTTTGATACGCATAGCTCCATTCCATAAACAAACGTCGGTGATTTCTTCCAGCCAACGGCGGGAGTTTATGCTGGCCGCATTTGTCAACGGTCGAATGAAATGGGGAACAGGGTCCATTTCGATGCCAGATTGCACATGCGCCTGAGACTCTTAATTTTTCGACGGCTTCTCATGAAAGTAGGCTAAAATGAAATAAATTCGCGCCCAGCCATCGTCTTCTTCTTAGGCTTAAGACAACCTGATAGTGATGGGGAGGTTGCGATCAAGGGGTCTAAATTCCGAGATGGAAGCCCAAATCGGAAATATGGTAATTACACCCGCAAAATAACAGACAATATTATATTGTACAAGTGTATACGGTAGCTTGCCTTGCGCGTCTTCAGCGCTAGAGTAGGGATAAGCCTGTAGCTGTGCTTATCTCCTGTGTTCCCTATCCCCAGAAATCCCCCCGCCAGAAGAACACATCTGGTCCTCTTGTTTTCTCATATTTATGGTTTTTGCTTACGATAGTTGCTTTCCCAAGCGCACCCCTATTAATTGCGGGAGCTTCGGTGAAGGCATTCGGTCATGACCGCTGTTCCCTCACCAGCATTGACTAGTGCCTCCACACACTCACTATGACCCGTTAAGAAGAATAACTAGAAATAGCAATTAATTAAAAGGAAAGAGAAGGCAAAGTATCAGGGGGAGCTGCAGGAACTGCGGATCAACCCGAGCAGGAACTTACGATTAGAGACTTTGCACAGGCCCAGCCACCCCGAATACCTGGACAATTAAGCAGTCTTCATTTCTGCAGAGAGAGAAAGAAACATACGCAGTATGTGGTAATACGTACGGAGTAATTAAGAATGGTTCTCCCTGGACTTGTTGAATCACACAATTGTTTGATCCCCTGGACGAAGCAGGATCATGGCATGAAATGACGCAGAGCAAATGTAGGCACGGTTTCTCGAAAGGTCGGCGACCAGCCAGGCCAGCCAGGCAGCTGCAGTCGCCGACATGAGAAGGGATTCTAGTGATATGCGCGGATGCTGAAAATCCATGCTTCCGTTTGTTGAAATTGGGGTGCATGGCACAGCGGGACAGGAAGCACAGATTTGCGCTGAATTTTCGGTAGGCCGGAAGGCCGAGAAGGTGCAGGATCGGCCTGGTATTCCAGCTCACAGTTCTTTTCCCGCACACGAACCCTCTCTCACAAAAAATCGAAGTCACACTTGTTGGCGTCCCTGCCGAGCAGCATCACAGTTGGTTGGAGAGTGTCCGACTGACTAAGCTGGCCGTTCTCCGCCGTCGATCATCCTGCGCTAGACTAAATACAGTCTAGGCAAGTTGGTAACATATGCAGCCAATTACAGCCCATTATCCGACCCGACAGACTGGTTCAGCTTTCACACGCCAAGCACCGCCAAGCACCGCCAAGCCGACGAGCCGCAGACGTCACACCGAGCCAAAAAAGCGGTTTTCGGTTACGAACCAACCACAGCAAATCCGCCTCCCCTCAAATACCGGGCCACTACAACCCAGTACAATCCAATACACGCCAATACAGACCAGGTTGTCGACCACCGACCGCGCATTCGATCATTCGAGCATTCGATATTGGCCAGTTGGAGGCGGCGGGTCGGGGTTGGTTTCTGCGTTTTTAACGCCTCTTCGCCGCCTGCGCCAATCAGACCCTGCCGGGGGGGGGGAGGGGGGGGGGAAGCGAGATGTCGCCAGTGGCCCTTCATTCGCCAGGTGCTCCTCTGCAACCCCAGGACGTGGACTTCTTCGTCAAGACCTCATCTGGAGCAACTTGGAGAGCAAGGGCGACGGCCGAAGGCGAATCTTTCCCCGCGACCTGTGGGGAATCGAGTCATTCAGCAGATTTGGGTCCTCGTATTCAATTCTCGAGGAGGGCAAAAAAGATACTCAATTTATTTATCCATGTATGTAAGTAAGTCTGTACATTACATGAGTACTAGTAAGTATGTATGTATGTATGAATGAATGAATGAATGAATAATTGCATTAACCGTACTCCGTACATATGCACCTAGATTTGTATGGAAGGGGGGGTCCTGTATGCCTACAGATAAATCTTCGATGAGGAGCTCAGGAACCCTGCCACATTGCCCAACGAATCATTGACTACTCTGTCCTCCGTACTAGCAAACCTGCGCTTCGAGCCAGTACCTTTCTCTTGATGCGCAATGCAACAGCACAGCACTACACATCTGCTGCTGTCTTTTTTCCGTGCTGAATCGATATCACGGATTTGGACGTGTTGTGATATTCATCTGTGCACACATGCACACTCTGTCTATTACGTCTAGAGCCCTTAGAAAGAGCAGGATTTGCACATCTTGCCTCGTTTAGAGTTTTCAATGCTTGGGGAATCACCACTTTACACTAATTAGCCTGTCCGACACGGTTCATCTGGGCTTGCCGGTTCGTATCAGATTAAACTCAGTTTTCCTTCCTGCCCATGTTGGAAAGCGTATCACCAGCTGGCTTGTATGTACTGGTACTGGACATTCGGAATAGGTCGCGCTTGCTGCGAGACAACTGCGTACAGTGTACTTTGTAATGGAATAAAATATATAATACTTATGTATAGGCAAAGACTCCATATATATATGTATATGTGTGTGAGCCACTGGCTTCTGTGGCCACTGAACCCGTTTTTTTTTTTTTTCTTTGGGCGCACTTTTTGGTCTGGGACACATCGATCACGTTTTCTGAGAGACTGCAGGGTCAGAAGAAGAAAAGAAGCAAGTGACATGACAGGTTGTCAGATCGGCTATTATTACAGGAATTCTACACGTCGAGACCCAGCGTGAAGAGGATGCAGAAAAAAAGAAAACAATAAAGCAAACGGCAATGCCCTTTGCGAATGTTATGACTGATTCCCTTTTCGCCTTCATTAACCAACTCTCAGCGAAGAGAAAGGGATAGTGTCTCCATTAGAGAAACCTTCCGGATAGTATAATATGATTATATGCTGCGACACAACCGTGCCGTGTCAAATCAAATGTTGGTTGAGTTTCGGTTGCGCTGACGCTATCGTTGGAACCTCTCGCGCATATCGTGAACCTTGTGCAGAACCCCGACCCTTCGAAGTTGAGCATCCTGCGCCCAATCATGGCTCAGGTGACTTGGTCGAGCACGCCGCCGCCACATCGCGATGCTGAGAAAACTATCAGGTACGGGGCTGCGCCCATGGGCTAATTCTCCAGTCCAACTGACGGTGGACTGACGGTGGCCTGACGGTGGGTGGGTTGGCCGCTAAACGCTATCATGTCAGGGCTGTGGATATGGCACAGATCAGAAAGTGAACCCCGCAAACATAGAGTTCCATTCGGGCTGCGCTTGTGGTCGCCGTAAATGATCTGAGGCCAAGTTCCAGTTTTATTGAAACTGCCCAGGTCCTCTCTAGCGGAGGAATTTTCCAAACCCCCCCACGCTATGATTGGCGTATTTGCTCTCTTCCAATTTTTTCTGATTTGCCGGTTGGTTGTTATCTCGGTGTTCATGAATCATGATCAACAAGCCAAAAATGAAAATAAAGAAAGAATAAAAAATAAAAAAATAAAAAAAAAGCCACTAAATGTCTCATATCCGTCTGCCACCTCCCCGTGCTGCTTAAGGTAGTTCCCGAAACCCGTTCAGATATCGCCGTCCAGATTCCCGCGGCTCCATGATGCAAAATGGCGGAATTGATTGCTTTGGTCCCCCCTACTCTTTTAATTTTTAAATGGCAGACATGGCTAATATTCAGATGTCCAGGGTGCAGAACAAGCAGGATACGTGAATGGAAAGCCTGGCCATGGCCCATGTCGCGTCCGAAAACCAAATGGGGACCAGCCATGGGTTGTTGTCGTTGTCCCGACAGGGCGGAAACCACTTACAACGCATTTCACAACGCAGAAACGGTGGATGTATTGAAGCCATGGTGACGATTTTAAATTACCGAAAAAAGCCTGAGGTACCAGCTCGTACAGCACTGATACTCGTTGAGGATGGATGCTACCCGGCTATCCTGGCTCTATATGGCTTCCTTGGACTCTCATTTCCGCCAATACAGGGCCTGACATACGGACATAGCCTGACCTTCCTTAGAGGCTCCCCGCACGAAGCTATATAGAATGATGTACAGAACATACCAGCTGCTATCGCTAAGGATGACCTTTGCAAGAGGGAACAGAAACCGATCATACTGAGAAGATGGCGACAAACATGACGCGAAAGGAGGGCCAAAACTCGAAACAGAAAATTGAATAAAATAACGCCGTTGGTAAGATCTGAGATTAAAATCTTCCTGGGACAGAGTTTACGCTAGGAAAGCCACAAGGCGATCGCCCAATACAGAACCGGTAAACTAAAGAAGCCCAGGCGCCTTTTTATTTATTTATTTTATTTTATATCTTTACTTTTCCCTGTCCGTCTCTTCTGGCTGTTTGCGACTATGCTGCGAACCTAGCTAGCGAGGGAGGGGGACAAGGGCAATCTTGGTCCGCCATCATTTGTGAACCACAGTTGAGCTTCCCTCAGCACCCCTGCCGCCGCCGCAATGGCTGTTGGTTGAATCCCCCGTAAAAAGCTTAGGGGCGTGGCTTTCTGCGGAAACAGTATTCCTGGACCAACAGGAGACCGCAGCAGTTGGAGTAATATTTGTCTCTCCCTGCCGCTACTGATGCTTGCTGCCAGTTGCCCTCCCGCTCCTCACCCACATCTGGGACTCTTCCCACTATCTTCCCCACCACCAACAGAAATCAGAGAAATGAAAAAAATAAAAAATAAATAAAAATAAAATAAGGTCTGATGAACCTATGGCTCGCCTTTTGCTGCATCATGCTGGCCCTGCTTCTGCGGTTAGCATGGGTGAAAGTCTGTTGTGTTATGGTATATGGTATCGCGGAGGGTAGACATAAAATAGAAATATGGACCCCCCGGTTGGCTCTCAACTCTTCTTCTGCTGCACTGTAATGCGAATCGATGTGTGTAAGCCAAGCAGCTCTTGTCGATCTATTTTTCTCATATCAAAACCGCTGCGCATCAATTCCTCGCCCCAGATTAATAGCCCAGTGAGTGGCACCATCCGACAGCCACATACACATACATATACCTTATATGTCCTTAATTAGAATTCCATTCTTAAAGTACTAATATCACCAGAGGATCGTCTCTCCCTTCATATACCCATCCACCCTCCATCGTCATTCGTACCATTCGACCTTTGACCTTTACCCAACTTCCCCTCACAAGCTATACTTCCTCTACATCTGCCCCAAATTTCCCACCAGCTAACAACTCCTATGTGAAACGGGCAAGGAACAACACACTCATAAAACAAAACCGAAACGAAAGGGTAACCACAAAGGAACTATTTCAGTATCACTCACGTTTCTGTTCTTCAGCAACAGAAACCTCTTGGCTGCTTCCGTAGGGTTAGTACAAAGATTTTTTTCACCAGGGCCCCCCCCCCCCCCCTCCCTCCATCCCCCTCTTTTTCCCCCTTCAAAACAAAGAATTGCCTAAGAAGGAAACATTTCCTTTCCTAACACCCCCGCCAGTCCATGTACACTAGTAGTACCTGCGTTGTTTCCCTTCGCTTTAAATTAACAAGGTTCTGATTGCTAAGCTTGTTTAGATCAGTTCCCTAACCTGCTGCATGAGTCTGAACCACTGTTCTTGCGGACCCTGTCAGATATTGAGTGAAGCTGTCATATACAAGAGCGGGTGATTGCAACAGCTCCATCTATCCGCGGCCTGAAGCTTTGCAAGTTCCAATTCCTTCACTTCTTCTCTTCGCCCTCCAACATTGTTCCTTTTGCACCATTTTCGCAAAGGGCATAAAATTAAAATAAAGAAGAGGGCAAAGAAAAAGAGAAGCTTCGCAAAAATAGCATTATCGTCAACTTTCTTTACCCCAATATAATCCACCTTTTCTCAAACAGCAACAACAAAAAAGACTCTGGAAAAGCGCCAAAGCCACCGTTCTGGAGAACCGCTGCCATACTACACTCCACCCTACCAACCCCCTACTTTTGGTTTTCCGCATCCGGAGCAAATTTCTGTCGGCGATAGTTGCAGAATTCGTCGCTCGTCGCCTCCCTTCTCGTCAATCGATACCCCCCTTGCCCCCTCCTCCGTACCAAAAATAATCAGATCCACGCCGCTTCAGGGACCAGGGTTCAGTGACCGGGACGGCTCGCTCCCTAATTAAAAGACGGAGTCATAGTCTCGATTCCCCCAGAGGATAAGGGTGGTGTAACGGTTCGCCTTTTAGCCCTCAGAAAGCTTGAGCTCTGAGGAATGCAACTGTACCGCACGACTCCACCCAGCAGAACACATAAAAACTCTTCATACCAACCGAAAAGATCCCCGGAAAGGAAGGTCTCCTTTCAACATCTCGTACCCTCCCTACCACCGGGGCTTTACTTCCTAACATTTGCTCTCTCTACCCTAAGCGCAAGCCTACCTTTTGCGCAGCTGCTCAGTTAGCGGGATAGAGTGAGTGGCCTGCAGCGAGCTCGTCGATATAGTTTCTCTGATAAAAGCGAAACTGGAATTTCCACACCATTTAGCCAGCAAAAGGACTGTCAGCAAGAGATGTTAAATGCCCACCCGCCAACGCCACCACTGTCAATAGACGGAGATATAACACACAGCTTCAACGACTGTCTAGTACAGCGAGTTGGATCACCATACTTCCAAAGCAAACTGCAAGTTGACAATATGTATGTGCAAATGGCACACTCTCCGGGCCTTGCAGTATACTCGCATTGAGATGGGACTCAAAACGGACAACCCGAA